TCGACAGGCAGTCGTTGTCGCGTTTCCGTTGTTGTGCATCGCCGATGAATCCGAATTTTGTGGTGCCCTTGCTCGGACTTCCTTCAACTCTTCCTGAAGTGTTGCAATATAGGTGAGGACCTGATCATTGTATTCAATTGTTTGCACAAAGTTTTGCTCGGCTTCTTCCGGCACCAGTGGCTCGATGGCGGCGTCCACCTCGTTCAGTTGGGCTTGGAGGGCACCAAGCCTTGCGGAAAAGATGCTGAGGTTCTTTTCGTTTTTCTCATTGCTTTTGATGTATGAATCAATTTCAGAAAGGAGTTTAGTCACCTGTGTTTGCAGGGCAGTTCGTTTCCCCTTGAGTTGTTCCATGGTCCGGAGCTCGTTGCCTCAGCCGTTGGCGAATCCAAGATGGCTCCTGCCTTCTTCTCGTTCGTCTTTTTCCCTTTTCTGTCGTTGGATGTTCTGCGTTGGAAGTCACGTCCTAATTTCCTTCATTCCCGGGTTTCGGCACCAACTTTTTAACAGTGTGGAATTAGGGAAAGGACTCATTGTTTTTTAGTGTAACAGAACATGGTTTATTTCTAGTGAAAACTGATTCAAGTAAAGCGAGCGAAGGCACGTTCACCTTCGACCGTCGGTCAAACAAGAAGGGAGAAGTGGCCCGCACAAAGCAAGGTCCAAGAGGGGGGCTCGTCATTTATGACCCCACAGTGGGGCGCGCTCTCCTTGCGGCTCCCCGTCCCTCTTCGCGGTTTCCTAGAAAGGGGCCGGTGCCTCGGTCTCGGCTCGTCCTCAAAGTCGTTTGCCACTCTTTCTTTCCTGCTCGGGCATCTCCAAGTTCTCTTCTTTTTATTTTACAACAGCCTCTAAAGGTGTCCTTTCTTGTCTATGGAAGTAGGAAGCTTCTGGAGGCGACATGAGGTTACCAGGGGTGAAGCCAGAAGCGTGGAGGGACACGCCCCCAATGATAACCAAAAACCAAGAGATGCTATTGGACAGCTGTTGAGCCAGCTCTCCTTTTCGTCCACAAGCGTCTCTTGGTTTTTGCTCATCGTTGGGGGCGTCGTGTCTCCTCCACAAGCTTCCTACCTCCATGCGAAACGGCGCTCTGTTGTTTGCAGACCAGTGGCGTCGCTGCGTTTCCATAGGAGCTAAGCCTTTTTCTTTCTTTACTTTTTCCTCAGGTAAAATCGCTCTTTGCAAATTTTACAAAAAAAATGCACCATCCGTGGGCAACGCTGCACAAAGTCGTAGAGCGATAGGTTAAGAAAGCGAATTTTCCGGTCGATTTAAAGAGCCTGGCGTCTCCTTGTATCACCCTGTAGAATGCTTTCTTGCTGCACTTGTGAAGACAATTGTATCTGTTTTTGTATTTTATCCTCGCAGTACATGTATTGCAGTATTTGTGCTCCAGAATAGGTTTTCGAGTATATCTGACCAGCCCTGGCTATCTTTTTCCTGGTGGGCAGCTTCTATATAGCATACAGATGGTCTTCGTCCCAAATTCAGAGGCTAGAAGTATTCGATTTCATGTGGCAGACTACCTACCGAGCAAGTGCCCACTCAAAATTTTGAGATAGTCACAAACCATTGGGGGATGGGTGCTTGTTAGGTCATCATATTAACATGTATATATGTGTACTGTGCAAATTTTTTTTTTTCTTTCTTTCAAATGTTATAAAATTTGGGGTTGGGCACTTGGAATGGGCAGACGCTCTAAGCACTAGAACAGCGACCACGATCATCATTCTTGACCCCAAGTACACATGGTTTAAACTTTCAATGTTATTTTACTCTAATAGGTATGGGGATGGGTTAAACTAGTTGGTACGTGTCTGTTATATGCATTGGCTTGTGCAAAATACACAAACACACACAGGAAGGAATGGGGCTCTGACCGCTGTCTACAAACTAAGGTTTACTACTCCTTCCTCTTCATTCCTGTTTACTGGGACCACTAATAGTGTTCACTTTTTTGATGGCTACTTAAAAATGATTACCCCTCTCATTGGATTCATATGTGCAATGTTTGACAAGTAGTGAGCCTGCTTAAAAATAAGCAAGCACATTAGAAAAGAACCATGCCAGTGTGTAGTTTTACTTTTCCCACATCATTTTAACAGCAATCCATCGAGCTTGGCATGTTGTAAAATTGTGAGCCACCATTGTCGAGAAACATCACAGAAAACTTGGGCGATGCGACTTTCCTCCAAGACATTCCAGCTTGTCTCACTACCTGCCCCGCAGTTCCATGAATGTGACTTAGAACTCTTATGCCTTGGCACCCTACTCACTGGATCTGGCACCATCGGACTTTCATCTATTCCCTGCGCTCAAACAAGATCTGTAAAGACAGCCGCTCCAGCAAGGAAGCCGTCATAGACGCTGCACGTGAGTGGTGTGAGGACCAAGAGAAATTACTTTTTTCTCAGTGGGTGGGCTCCACTAGAAGTGCATAACACTCAAAGGAGACTTTGCAGAGAAATAATAAAGGGCCATTTGCATGTGACAGTCCCATCAAAAATAGGCTCACTACTTCTCAAGCTTCCCTTGCAGACAGGTTGTGTACCAATCTTTAACAACTTTCTACAGTACTAGCCCACAGTTCTTCGTTATGCTTCATATTTTTTGTTGGGCGTATTTGCGCGCCTTGTGTTGCACTGCCAGTGCTCGTGATGTAAACTTGCTTTCGTGCTTGCCTGCTCGCAAGTGCAATGTGCCTGAAATAAATGGATGGATCTCTAAAGTTGTGTGCAGGGAGTTTTGTTGTCGGGTCTGCTGCATATATAGTCGACCATGCTGATCATCTGAGAATGTCTTGCCTCGTATATTTTCCCTACTGGTTTCAGAAAAATTAGGCATTCCATGATTTGACTGCACATGGCCCAGTGGAGGTCATGCAGCCAGAAGTGTCAGTATTCTGTAGTGGAAATTTGGGTTGATGGAACCTCGCAAGTGGTTAACATCACCAAGTTTGGAAAAGAGGACAAACTGAGATGAGTGCGCTTATTTTTGTAGCTGCTGGAAACAGAAACGTCAATGGCAATGTGCCCAACATGTAGTGCATCTTTTTGCGGCTGCATTTTGAAACCCTGTTGCTGAAGCAAAGTTCACGCTGGCTGACCTCGGTTTCCCTTTATGTCTAGACTACCTATTCACCAATGCCAGGTGCCAGTTTGGCCAGCTTTTTGTAGTCGCAAAGAAAGATGGAGGTCAGGCAGGCAAAGCCAGCCCTCGCACCGGGGGGCTATGTTGCACGTTTTGGACTCTCAGGAGACTAGGGAGAAGGAAGTGACGTCAACGATGCTCGCTGGATGTTGATTGGTGTAGTCGCTGATGACAGTATCTGCAGAAGTTGCCAAGACACGTTCATTCACACCTACGTCACTTCCTTCTCCCTAGTCTTCTGGGAGTCCAAAACGTGCAACATAGCCCCCCTGTGTCGAGCACAGGCTCCAAGTCACTCGGGCAAAACTATCCGAGGCTTGCGGACATGTGTGAATACAATCCTTTGAAGATATTCTGAGGTAAGCATAGCTAGGAAAAATCTGACACCTGCTGTCTGCAGCATGCGTACGCATAACAGTGGGCATGTGGGCATATCACATTGCAGAGGCTAATTGGTAAGCACAGCGAGGACGACCCTTGACATCAACCAATTCGTTCACACACGTGCCCAGTCGTCGCTGCAGGTGAGGACGATGACAGTAGATGGCCAGTCGGCTTGTGGAATATTTTCTCACTGCCCGCTTCCTTCGCTAAATTTGTAACAATCGCTACGTCACTTCGCGTCACTCCACTGTGGGTGTACGAGCGCGTGCACGCTGCCCGCGGACATGCTTCAGCCCCTCGAGTGATCGCGCAAAAAAAAAAAAAGCACTGGTCGAAGCAGCTGCGTTCACGCTTTAGTACCGTTTCCAGTGGAGCACAAAAAAGCTGACATCGGGTATAGATCAATTTCGCCGCAGGGTTACAGGCTTGACAATGCACTTCTCCATTTCGACTAGCTGCGGGGAGCGCGATTGATTCTTGCAGAGGCGTGACAGTGTATATGCAAAGCACAATTCAGACGTGCACTCGCGGTCCAGATCACCGCTTGTGCTCCGTTGGCGTCTCATACGTACCTGGCGCGATTCCTGTTGAGGCCAGCAACGGGCGAATGATGTTACACCCGTGAATAATGCTGCCAAGCGGCGAGTTGGGCATCGCTGTAGGGCAGACTACACAACACCGCAGCGGCGCGTCGTTCGAATGAAATAAAACATTAGCTACACTGGACGTTTTAGCGAAAGCCAAACGAGCTGGGTTTATTTCCAGGCCGTAAATGACTTCGGAACGCTGGCAGCGGTCACGGGTCCTTAGGCCTAAACACACCCTTCCGCCCTGGAGTACGCGAACGTTACGGCAGAAAGCATAAAACGGCCGTAGCGTAGCTGCCCAGTCAGCATTGAGACCTGTGCGCGTATGTTATCCAGTTTCACACTAACGATACCTTCCAATATCTAGGACTGCACCAATGCACTTTTTCGACTGGGGCGTGGAGCACTCCAAAACAAAGCGGCAGGGCGTCTGCTCGCGTCGGCGGTAGCGGGGGGGAGGGGGGCTGCACGCAGCTTACGGCCGTATTCATAAACGGGCCTCGACTCGACACTCCACCTCGACTCGCTGGAGTGGAGGAAAGCAGCTCGCCTCCACTCGAGGGGCCATCGGGCTTCACAGACGCGCCTCGGCGTTTCCTCGGCTGAGGAGCTCCTCGAGAACACTTCCTCCACTCGAGGAAACTCGAGGAGACGTGAAAGGCGTCTGGTTACGAGGTTGTAGTAAAAAACGAAATTGAAAACAATATTGTGGTGTGAATTATGAACATATTAGTTCATTTTATTTAAAGGGACACATTTTACTAACATTGAATTGGGAGTCTGCAAGATTTCTGCTTCGCAGCGCGCATGTTTTATGCGTTGCGGCAAGTTTTCGGACAAACAGCCACAAGCGTTCTCCAGTCTGGCAACGGTGGCGGCCGCTCCCCAGCTTTTGCGTCGTAGAGGCAGTAGAGGCAGCTGTAGCTCGCTACCGTCGTTCGCCTCTGCGTCTCGCCCGTTCTTCGCCGTCTCACCTCGTCTCACCGCTTATCTGCTTCGCTGTCACCGCCTAGAACGAGCATTTTCACCCTTTCTCTTTCTTCAGAGTCTTACTAAAGTGCCTTGCCCAACAACGATGTCGTTCAACGAAGGTGACAAGAAGGGGCAAGTGGTTCCACGAAGGAGGAAAGCTTCTTCGTCGTTCTACTAACAACTCCCCGAAAGAAGCTAAAATTGACGCGTAGAAGAGTCTGCACTAAGTATAAGCGCCAGCCGCATGTCCGCCCGCGAGTGTTGGGACAACGGTAAACCCAAGTGGAAGAAAACAGACTCCGAGAAGAATCGGGGCATCCACGCAACAGGTGAGTAAGCAATTTTTATATTTGGGCAGAATAACGCAACGGGTTCGCAAAATCACATGACAGGACGTGTGTACTAAATAACCCTGGAAGGGACTTTGCTGTGGCCACCTGCAACTAGTCAAGCACGTTACTGTCGAGGCCGTAGGTGGGCAGTGACGGTGAATTGGCGCTATCTTTGGTGATTCTTGTGCCGACTTCGACAACTTACTTTGCGTGTTGTGCTATATCTAAGCGAAAATTACGCTGCGAATATTCTGGTTGCGCCACACTACCTTAGCCTCCGGCCCCTTGCTTGAGATTAGAGAGGCAACCTGGACGTATAAAAAAAAAAAAAAACGCGACGCACGAAATTGACATTAGTGCACGTAAAAGTTACGCTAAGTAGGAGTTTCCACTATGTCAATTGGACCTAGCACCTCATCTCCTTGTGTGCTAATCTTTTGAAGAAAAAAAAAAATCTTGTGCAGGTTTAATTGACTACCAGCTCTCATTTCTCAATTGTAACCTCCTAAGAAATGCCATTATGTGAACATGAGACGTGCTGGAGTCCAGTTGTTGACAGATGCCTTTTTTCAGGTGTCCATGTTAGTGTGCAACCATTGTCATTTATTTGCTAGGTTAATCAGCGCATTGTACTGGCATGATTAAGCTGGCACAAATTTAATATGGGTAGAAGTATACATTATTGATTTGAAAAGTTGTGTCTACAATATGAATGTTGTCGATAATCACATTAAGCTACTCCAGTATTTTCCATGCATATCAAGAAACAGCACAGGTATGACATCACTTATTTCGCATTTATTTTTGCAGTTAAGTGTCGAACAACAAATCGTACCGCATAAGTTGTAGTATGATTTGTTTTTCTTTCTGCGTTGTGCTCTGTACATCTCAACTCATGGATGCTCTCACAGGATATTCTTTGGCCTTTCATTGCAGGAGGGGGCACTGGTATCGCACCTGCTGAACAATGGGCCCGTCCCTCCATCTTGTGGGGGCACTGGTGTCCCACATGGCGATGCGGCTGCCAAGCCCATACAACAGCGGCAGCGCCCGCGCTGGTTGGCCGGTGCTCTCAATGCTGCCAGCCGCCATTCCCGAAGCCACAGTGAACGAGCATGACGACTGGCATGATGCCTGGTAAAAGTTTTCGATTGCATTTGCTACATACCCATGGAGGTTGGTTGCTACTTGATCACACAGCTTCCAATGTTTATTTATAAAAAAATCTGTCTATGCTCTTCCGTTTATTATTTCGATTTTGGCATACTGTCTCGTAGGAACGCTAAAAACTGTGACAATGAGCCACATTTTCATGAATGCGACTTGTTAGGGGTGCCACGTAGGAACACGGTAAATTCCTTGGGTCTGGATAATGACATGTTTATTGACGAATACACCACACTTGTGCCTGAGGGCCCACAAGGTCCGAGATAACAGCGCTGTTTCTTTTGAGGGTATCACCATTTGGAGTCTGCCCTGCCGCTACTGACAGTATCACGGAAAGGAAAGGGTCAGAACAAGGAAGGAAAACTTTCATGTTTACCAACGGTTGGCATTTAACATTTCTGTAATGGGGTTGTTGTAACAGTTTCTACCAGTTCTCCGGTGTCTTCACCGTGCCTGTAACACTCCGCGTCAATGTGTTGTGCTTGCCTAGATTCACCTGCCCCACCGCTGCTGGACTAGGGTGGCATCATGGAGGTTGCGGTTGCTGTGCCACCAACCAAGCCCCCGCCTCCTCTACCTCCTCAGCCGCCACGTGTGGTTGTCCGAGTGAAGACAACTAAAGGCCGCACCAACTGGAGGAGCTGCACCTGCTGCAGCTGGAGCTACGTCAGTGTCAGGTTGCCTATTAACAGACGCAGGCTCAGGTTTTTCATCAGCAGCAGCGTAACAAGCTGGTTCGAGCTTGAGCTGCTTCAGCTCAACAAACTAATCACGCTGCAACAACTGCTTGGTCTTGGGGCCCAGCCACAACAGTAGGCTGATTTATTCAATTTGTTTCATCTTCCTCTTTAGTAATTACCATTCTCTTTTGTGTTTAAGAATGCTTTTTTAAAGTCTGTAACTTGCTTCATTTCATCCCTGACCTGAAGTTGTTACAAGTTTTGACTGTATCTCGTTCGTTAAAGCCTAGCATTTTTTTTAACTTGTTTCTCGATTCGCTATTTGTAGTGAACATTTTATGCAAAAGGGCAGTTACGTCAGCTTTAAATCTATTCTTTTGAAACTTAAAAAGTAACAAAGTATTTTTTTTTCTTACTAATTACATTGTTTGTATGTTTAGGCAACGGGAAGTTAGTCAGCCCCAGTGAGCAACTTATCTCCACTGTAGACGAGATATTCAGCCAGTGTCGTACCACAGCTATCCTGGGGTCTTTAACTTCAATCTCAGTTGTGATACACAACCGCATGCTGTTATAATGTTCATCCACATCGATACAGGCGGAGGCAGAGATTGAACTCAAGATTCCTATGTTCAGCTGTGCGAGCTTTCACTCCACGTGCCCCAAGCTGTGATCCGTTAATGCAGTTGACCACCAATCCCCTTGATGGATATTAGGAATCTGTTTGAATGTACAGCCAGGTGTTTCCTAAACATTGCCACTATTATTTATGTAATGTCTCTTTTATTAGTGTGTAGTCCATGTGCAGCCTCGCTCATTAAATGCTGTTGTCACAGAGTTTTGCCATGGTTTTCATTGAGTTAAGACGTCTCATTTCCTGTCCAGGGGTTTGTGCCTCGCAATCCTCTATGAACTTGCACCGCCTACCAGAGTAAAGTCGACACTACATTGACGAGGCTTGCCCACTGCCTTTTCATTGCGGAGGTGGCGCCGTGTCCCAGAGCTTTTGGTTGCTTGTCCAAAGATCCCCAGGTGGTCGAAATTAATCCTCAGTTCTCTGCTGGGGCGTGCCAGATGCCTGCCGTTAGTTTGGCACGTAAAACCCCCAAATCTGACCTCACTGCCTTTTCACTGCACACTACTACAGTGCCGACGTAGCAATTGGACCAAAGTTTGCAGCTGGCCACACAGTGATACAGTAATTGAGCAGCGGTTCCAGCTAAACCCTGGTACGGTGCTCACCTCATTCATGCTCGCATTCAGTAATACGTAGTGTGATGCCAGCAGTTTGAGTGCATGGGCTCCGCATGCTTGTGCAAGTAACTGTTAGGTAGGACACCCTTGACTGCCTAACATCCGAAGGTGTCCTCACAAGGAATTCCTGCGCTATTGTAATATTTATTCTAACCGAAAACTTTTCATGTGGGGTCACAGCTGCAAGACATCATTTCAGACATTCTCATGTATAAGTTTATTTCGAACAAATGTGCACTGAACAACTCGCTGAAAAGACTCGAGTCTGAACACGGCAAAATTTTGAGTTATTTTAATGTAATTACCTGAAGCTTCTCACTTTCTTTGTATCCTGCTACCCCCCTGCTTTGTGTGATGACAAATATTGAATTGTTCTCGAGCAAAATGTTTCCACAACAAAGAGGGCAAGTTGGTCTTGCTTTTTTCGGAAGATTGGTAAAACAGCAACCACCAGCATAGTTTCAAACACTGTCGTCCAGCGGGAACGTGAGTAGAACAAAGACATTGCAACAATCTGTGGTGACCAACTAGCTGAGAAACCGGCGAATTTGTTTCGGTTCAAATTAGAAAGTGTGTGGCCATAGTATAAGGTTGATTTGTTTCTGGCGCGATTGCATTTTGAGCTTTAACATGGCCAGTGACTTGATTCTTCAGTGACCTAAGCTAAAAAGGACATGCTCTGCATTCAGTTCCTACTGGAAACACCACACAAGGAGTTGAGCCTGCACCCATGCCCCGTTGAATGTGTCCACAGGGTCTGGAGTCGATGGGAGATGAGATTGCCTTCAGCATCGTCAGTGGGGGGTGGGACTGGTAGAGCGGGAAGTGGCTCGTTCTGCAGGTGGGCCAAGTTTTGCAGTGCAAGTTCACCAGTGATCATCACAGCTGACCATTCAGGCTTGTGCTGCATCGAGTTCCTAGTCCAGAAGTGGGCCTTTTGGTACCTACATAAGACAAAAAGGAAGAAAAATACAGCACAATTATTGTTTGAATAGAAAATGTGGGACTGGTTTGTGGAGTAGTGTATGTCCTATTAATGCTCAGACTACTGTTTTCGATAGAAAGTGCTGTGTATGATAACACTCTTCTTCAGATGTACACACAGCTTTTTGTCAAGAGTGGATAATGACCCTTCGCGCACATCTTAAGCTTCAGAAAGTCTCTTTTAGATGGCTGCAGGCATCAGTCCGGTTCGGGTGGTATGCTGTACGATATGGACTTTGGTACTAGTTGTATTTTCAGTACACTCTGCTGCTTGCCGAAGGATGTCAATCTGCGAATGGTGTGGTATCGGCGTATGTTTCCTACATTATTGTATATTTCTGTGGACTCTTAAGCCGCGGTCTCATTTAAGCAACAAATGCCAAGAACCAACAAACAACCAACCTCAATGAACAACAAATGTTATTGAGCAGTGGGTGTTCACCGTGCAGTTTGGTTTACACGACACAAGCACATGCAGACACAAAAACTGATTACATATGGGACTGTTGTAGTTAACAATTGCACAGACAACTTAGTGAATGCCAGCAAATGAATGCTTTCATGTGTATGTAGAAAGTAAACATTCGCTCATCATTTTCAATTTTAACTTAATTTTAAGTTTTCATGTCTGAGAATCTGACGATCAAAAAGGTTCATCTGGGATGAGACTGTGTGGCAACACACATCGTCTCATCCCACATTCACTGGAAATGTGCTTTGGTCATGATCATTCTTGCAAGGAGGGTGCGCTCGGGCTGCTACTATCATTCTGCTCGGTAACCCGATCGGGAGTTCGTTTTATTTTACGTATTTCTGTGCTCTCCCAAGAGTCGGCAGCCATTTAATGACATTTTTTTTTTCCTTCATAAGAACGGGAGTACGTTCACGCTCGGTCGTGCAAACTGTCGCCGGATACAGATTTGTTTTAAAGTTTTGATTGATATCGTTACGTCAGAGTTTAGACCTACGATATCGCATCTCAGCGTACAGTTTGATTAATTAAGCTTGGCACTCCTAACGCAAACAACAGAAGTGAACTTACCTGCACGTTGATGGAGAAGTATCCATTTCTGTTTCGAGAACACTTCCACATCGGGACCGCCGGGTCCTCTTATCAATGCACCCAGTCGCCGCTGGAAACTTCATTTCGCAGCAGCCCCGCACGAACGCATTGAAGTTCGCTGCGCCCTGCGGGAGCTTCACCGAGCGGGTGAAAATGGTCCGTGCGAGGAGCCGCGAAACTCGCTCCGCAATCCGGCGCACGGTCGGCTGCTGCATGTTCACATGGTTCCCGTAACAACTTGGAACGTCCTGGCACCATAAAAGCTCAAAACAACGAGGAGCTGCAGCATCGTTGAGGGCGGTAGGCCCTGAGTACTCGCGCTCCTGGCAGAGACGGCAGAGTGCTCGCCGGTCGCCTTCGTGAAGCGGCACCGCACAGGAAATCCGCAGTCACTGAAGTGTTCCAGCGGGTTCAGGCGTTCTCTGAAACTTCGTCTCGTCACACGTCTCGATTCGCTGTCGCCTGCGTCGTCGTAGAGGATCTCTTCTGCGCTTAAAACGAAGTGCACGAACTCCGCGAACGACTCGCCGGCCGCCATGACACCCCAAACTCAAGTCGAGGAGCGGCTCGAGGAAGCGCCGGACCTACCTTGAGATTCTCGAGGAAAGAGTCGAGTATTTCCTCGAGTCGAGGAGCGTTTGGAGTGGAGGTCGGTTTATGAAGCGCAAAACCGGCCTCGAGTGGAGTTTCGAGTCGAGTTTGAGTCGAGTTCGAGTCGAGGCCCGTTTATGAATTCGGCTGTTAGAACAGCCCGTAGCGCGCGCGTACCACGTGACTGCGCCAGCCAATCGCGGTATTCTTCCCTCCTTCCTTTCCTCCTCTCCCTCCTTCTTTTCTCTCTCGCGGGGCTTTGCCGTGGGGGGTCTCACAATACGCGGCCCGGGAAGCATTCTCTCTGAAGACCCCACTTTTAGTTTCTGTCTACTATCGTTAATAAGGCAGTGTAAGTTCCTGCTTCGATAATCCGAAAAATATGGTTTCAGATCAATTTCAGAATGGTTTTATGAGCAATACAATATGGCGACTTACATCAAACGAAGTTAATAGCGTGGATGCATCTGGATTGAAAAACCGTTCACTCACGCTCACTGGAAGCCTTCTCTTTGAAGGCCCCACTTTTAGTTTCTCTCTACTATCGTTAATAAGGCAGTGTAAGTTCCTGCTTCGATAATCCGAAAAATATGGTTTCAGATCAATTTCAGAATGGTTTTATGAGCAATACAAAATGGCGACTTACATCAAACGAAGTTAATAGCGTGGATGCATCTGGATTGAAAAACCGTTCACTCAAACTCACGCGAAGCCTTCTCTCTGAAGACCCCACCTGTAGTTGCTCTCTACTCTCGTTAATAAGGCAGTGTTAGTTCCTGCTTCGATAATCCTAAAAATATGGTTTCAGATCAATTTCAGAATGGTTTAATGAGCAATACAAAATGGCAACTTACATCAAACGAAGTTAATAGCGTGGATGCATCTGGATTGAAAAACCGTTCTCTCACGCTCACGGGAAGCCTTCTCTCTGAAGACCCCACCTGTAGTTGCTCTCTACTCTCGTTAATAAGGCAGTGTTGGTTCCTGCTTCGATAATCCGAAAAATATGGTTGCAGATCAATTTCAGAATGGTTTAATGAGCAATACAATATGGCGACTTACATCAAACGAAGTTAATAGCGTGGATGCATCTGGATTGAAAACCGTTCACTCCCGCTCACGGGAAGCCTTCTCTCTGAAGACCCCACCTTTAGTTGCTCTCTACTCTCGTTAATAAGGCAGTGTTGGTTCCTGCTTCGATAATCCGAAAAATATAGTTTCAGATCAATTTCAGAATAATTTTATGAGCAATACAATATGGCGACACACATCAAACGACGTTAATAGCGTGGATGCCTCTGGTTTGAAAAATCGTTTACTCACGCTCACGTAAGCCTTCGCTCTGAAGACCCCCACCTGCAGTTCCTCTCTACTCTCGTTAATAAGGCAGTGTTGGTTTCTGCTTCGATAATCCGAAAAATATGGTTTCAGATCAATTACAGAATGGTTTCATGAGCAATACAATATGGCGACTTACATCAAACGACTTTAATACTGTGGATGCCTCTGGATGGAAAATTCGTTGACTCACGCTCACGGGAAGCCTTCTCTCTGAAGACTTCACCTGTAGTTCCTCTCTGCTCTCGTTAATAAGGCGGTGCTGGTTCCTGGTTCGATAATCTGCAAAATATGGTTTCAGATCAATTTCAGGTTTCATGAGCAATACAATATGGCGACTTACATCAAACGACGTTAATAGCAAGGATGCCTCTGCATTGAAAAACCGTACACTCACGCTCACGGGAAGCCTTCTCTGTGAAGACCCCACCTGTTTTTTCTCTCTACTCTCCTTAATAAGGCAGTGTTCGTTCTGGCTTCGATAATCTGCAGAATATGGTTTCAGAACAATTTCAGAATGGTTTTATGAGCAATACAATATGGCGACTAAGATCAAACGACGTTAATAGCGTGGATGCCTCTGGATTGAGAAACCGAGCACTCACGCTCACGGGAAGCCTTCTTTCTGAAGACCCAACCTGTAGTTGCTCTCTACTCTCCTTAATAAGGCAGTGTTGGTTCCTGCTTCACTAATCTGAAAACTATGGTTTCAGATCAATTTCAGAATGGTTTAATGAGCAATACAATATGGCGACTTACATCAAACGACGTTAGTAGCGTGGACGCCTCTGGATTGAAAAACC